CACAATAATGCAAAAGCAAAGGAATTTTATCTCTAGCTCGAGCTAGGGTCCAGGTCTCATTCAACGCAGTGGAGTCTTGACAAGGACCCCGACTCCAAATCACAAGCAGTTTCTATAGGGTTCAGTTAAGAAGCAGTTTATATACTGGTCTATTTTTAGCATTGGCCTATTACAACAGTGGTCAGCAATTAATGGTTTGAGGTTTTTCCAGGGAGGGTGCAGTGACCCCTCATGACAGCCCAAATCCAACTGTCCAGTTCTTATCTAGGTACGTTATTCAACTGAGAGTTTACCAAAAACTGCAAGTCCTGCTCTGAGGAAACAGCAAGGCCTAGTTGAGACTTAATGTTAGCTGCAGCCTGTCATGGCATCAGTTTTTCCTTCATAATGGGTGAGGGGAGACAGAGGGCTGAGAGGTGGGGCCAGCTACCCCTCACCAGCCCCCAGGGGCCTGGGGGACAGGAGTGAGGCAGGAGAAAGGTCTGGAAATCTCTGGCCACTCCAGCTCTCTGGTCTCAGTGTGAAGAGATGGTCCAGCCTTCGCTTCCTCATGGGCCTTTCTTACACTAACACCCGCCCTTGGGACTCATCTTGTCTAGGTGCAGAGGAGGGGGATCTGAAGGCTAGGGCCTTTGTGTTCTTACATGAGCATGGCTAAGACACTCGACTATGGTGTTTTGAGTCAAAATGCAGGCTTTCCACCAGAGACCAAGGAAGCATGATCTTCCTCAGCAGTGGCCTGGGAGGAAGATGAATGGGGTGGCCTTGCCCTTCTGAGGCACCCAGACAGCCTTTCACTGGCCCCCCACTGAGAATTAGTCTTAGCAGGGTCACTTGTCAGACACGTGGCCCCGGGCATGTCCGCAGGCCTGCCTAGTCTTGCTCATCTGTAAGGGGAGCCAGTTCTGCATCAAACCCCTCGGGAATCGAGGACGCTCATAGTAAGGAGAGAATCAGGATTTCCCTATGGGTGAAACGAACTCAAGCAGTCTCCCCCAGGAAATACCTTGCTCACTGCCTTGAAATCAAACAATCCCTTCTGGGGCTGGAGAGAGAGTTCAGGGTTAAGGCCTTATGGTATGTGCACTGATCCAGGTCTGATCCTCGTGAGCACTGCTGCCTGAGCACTACCTGGATGGTCCAAGTAACCCGCAGCACTCTAGCCCTGCATCTGCAAGCCTGTGCTTTGACCTCCTTAGCCAAGAACCGCTGGGAGGGGGACCCCAGGACTCCTGAGCACTATTTGGGAGACTCTCCCCCTCCAAAACCCCTTTCAATAGATAGATAAACCAATAGAATGGGTTTTGTTATTTGTTTTGAGGCCACACCCAGTGGTACTTAGGACTTACTCCTGGTTTTGTGCTCAGGGATCACTCCTGATGGTACTGGACAGACCATACGTGGTGCCCAGGATTGCACCTGGGTCAGCAGTATCAGCTGTATCTCTTCAGCCCCAAGGAAAGCAAACTTATTGACAGTATAGATGTATATAATACATCATAAGCTAATACATGGGCAGCTGTGTAATATATTAAATTCTATAATATATAGCATTTTGTATAAATATAGAATAGCTCAGTATGGGATATTTGTCCTATCTATGGGATACCTATATTATAGATAGGTAAATATAATATGAAATCATCATTTATGCAAAAACGATCACGATCACGATCACGACCATCCTATTGTTCGTCGATTGCCTCGAGCAGGCCCCAGTAGTGTCTCCTTCATCCTAGCCCTGAGATTTTTTTTTTTAAAGTGCCATATCAAAGCTCATTCAGGGTAAGGAGAATGAGACCCATCGTTGTTAGTGGTATTTGGCATATTGGTTATGCCATGGGGAGTTTGCCAGACTGCTGTGTGGGCAGGTTACATTCAGTAGCCTGCCAGTTTGTCCAAAGTAAGAATGACACAATAAGATGTCGCTTCCGGGAGCTCGGTTTTATAGTCTCTGAGTCTTGGCCGTTGATGGGATTACACGGCACCAGGGGGCCAGTTGCTGTGTGTGACCCTTGCCTACTGGAATAAGGAGGATCTGGGTGGAGGATGCTCAGCCCCAATCCCAGCAGGCTTGGAGATCTCAGCCCCAGGACCCGCATGCCTTTGTTCCTCTGCCGGTACCTTTATGCCTGTGGAGAGTGGTCTCAGCATGGTGGTGACTTGTTCTGGAGGTCTTCGACTGCAGGAGCCCTGGTCGGGGCGGGGAGGGAAACTCAACCCGCTCCCCTCCAAGGGGCCCTGGCGAGGACAGCCAGGCACGGGGGCAGGAGACTCTGCGCTTTTCTCTTCCGGGTGCTGGGTTTTATAGTCTCTGGGTCTTGGCCATTGATGGGATTACATGGCACCAGGGGGCCAGTTGGTGGGTGTGACCCCTGCCTACTGGAATAAGGAGGATCTGGGTGGAGGATGCTCAGCCCCAATCCGAGCAGGCTAAAACAAAAAAAAATATAAATATATCCAGAAGCTTAGATGACACAAATGGCATTTTACTGAGATGTCAGACTCTGTCCTTTGAGGCTGTGTCCCTCTGTCACAGAGACAAAGAGTCTGAGAAGGACCCAGCAGTAGGGTCACCTGGCCAAGCTTAGAGGGTGTCTCCATGTGTAACCTTCTGCGGGTGGGGCCCCACAGGGTTTCCTGAGCCTGGAGTCTTGCTGGAAACTGGGCTGACAGGTTGGGGGGAGTGACTGAGGCCTGGAGAAGGAAGCTGGGGTGCTGTGACTCTTCTGGTCAGGATCTCTAGAGATGCCCATAAAAATTCTCTTTGACAACTGAAGTCACTCAGCTTCTTTGGGTTTCTGCTTGTCCTTTCTGGGGGGCCGAAGGGTGGTTATCTGAACTAGTCTTGGCTCATTGCTGGGGGGTCAGTCCCAGTCAGGGGACCATACCTGTCCAGCCCTTTGAACCCTTCCCTTTGTGGCTCCTTGATGGCTGATTGGGGCAGAGCAGAGCCCGACTCCAGCAGCCTTTGCTGTCTTGGGGTCCCTTGTTAATAGACTTTTCTTCCTAAGGTTTTAAAGCTTACAGGTTTTACTATTATTTCTTCCTTTAAAAAATGTTTTGGGAGGCTGGAACGATAGCACAGCAGGTAGGGCGTTTGCCTTGCATGCAGCCGACCCAGGTTCGATTCCCAGCATCCCATATGGTTCCCCCGAGCAACGCCAGGAATAATTCTTGAGTGCATGAGCCAGGAGTAACCCCTGTGAATCGTTGGGTGTGACCCAAAAGGAAAAAAAAATTTTTCTTTGGACCATACCAAGTGATGCTCAGGACTTATTCCTTGATCTGTGCTCAGGATCACTCCTAGCAGGACTTGGGGGGCGCCTTATAGAGTGGTGGAAATTGAAGCCACGTGTCAGGTACATGCAAGACAAGTCCTCATTGTATCATACTCACTGTAACTCTCACTGGACTCTCTCTCTGGCCCCAAATATTTATTCCTTTAAGGGAAAGCTTAGCTTGTGGGTGAGTTTTTAATGATTCTTTAACTCTCCCTTCACATTTAAGGGCAAATGAATCTCCAGAAGGTTCCTTGGTGCTTAGTGAAGTGAGTCTTGTCTGAAGATAGTGGTTATTATCCAGAATGATTTTGCCCCCAAGGGTCACTTAGCAATGTCTAGAGGCAGGGGTTCAGGATGGGGCATGTGATAGGGTGGAGGATGGGGTGCTGCCCTGCCCCCATGCTGCAAGGGACAAAGCCCAGCTCCTGGCGTCAGCTGTTCTGGGTGGAGAAACTTTGGGTTAGGCATGTGAAGGCAAGTTCTTTCTTCCAAAGCCGTGACCTTGACCTTGTCAGGTTCCTTCTGCAGAAGCTGCCCAGAACTAACCCCATGGAATCAGGGTTCTGAAGCCTGCTGGGCCCTCCAGGTCATCACTGCTGTTTTCCCCAGGAGAGTCTCCACAGTCTATCTGCTAGTCTGCTATCTGCTAGTAAAGTGCTCTGTTTCATTTTGCTTCAGACATTTGTTTGAGGGATCTGGCATATTCAAGAATTTTCCCACGTGAATGGATGTAAGGAGGAGGAAACCCCCAAAGTCACCCAATAAACCACACAAGCTGGAAAGACTCTGCTTTTGGCTATGGGGTTCAGGGGAGGGGAGGCAGGGCTGCGTGGCTACCTCAGGAGAAGGCGGGTGCCCAGACTGTCTGGGTGGAGGGCAGAGGACTCGGGGGAGCATCTTGGGACTCCTTCCATAAACATAGATCAGTACGCTGCTTTCTGCACCCCACTTCCTGCAGCCCCGAGCCTCCCTGAACTCAGCATGGAGAATACTTTGGCTTCTTGTGGACAGTCAGGAGGGTGCGCTGGTCTGACTCATGGACTCTGCAGCTCCTCCTCTCAGATCTCGCCGTCTGCCCACCCATCTCTTCCTCTCCTGGCTTGTGCCCTTATTTTCCCTCTACTGTCCTTTCACTCAGGTCTGGGGTGGGAGATGGAGAGCCACAGGTGGGAGTCCATCCCTGGTCCTAAACCAGTAAGGCTGGGAGGGGAGTTGATGCACTGAAAAGCTGCAGGGGAGTTGATGCACTGGAAAGCTGCAGTTCCTATAACTGTAGAATGCTTGACTCTTCCAGGGCCTGCAGCCTGCTGGCTGGTTCATCCTGCCCATGTTCAGCTCTAGGATGTGTGTGTGTGTGTGTGTGTGTGTGTGTGTGTGTGTGTGTGTGTATGAGTGTGTGTGGTGTGGGGTGGGGTGGAGATGCAGTTTCTAGGAGGAGGAGCGCTCTGTTACCTTGGCCTTGCTATACCTCTGCTTTTCTGGGTTTATGTGTGATTCGACCCTGTGGGTCAAGTGAGCTTCCACTGACGTGGCCGCTCGCTGAAGCACCGTGACTTGCCTTTCCCTCCTCATTCTGGTTGGACGCCACCTCAGGCTCCATCAAGTTCATGCTCAAGGTCAGGGGTCACTTGGCGCCCTGACAGCACGCAGCTCCCCGGCAGACGGGTGAAACCCAGCACTTGAGTGTGAGTACCGACTGCCTCGTTCTCTTACCAGAGGCCTCGAGTTTGGTTGGCAGAGTGGCGACCCGCTGGCCAATTGGACGGGTTTCTTTAATGCCACCGACGACCCAGCAGTGCAGAGCAGCAGTGACTCCAGCTCCAGGTACAGCCCGGGTGAACCAACAGGGAAGGGGGGAGCTCATCCTGGGATGACACATTGCCCCTACCCCGTGACCCCGTCTCCCACCAGAGGATCTGTGGGAGCAGAAGAGAGAAACAGGCTCGGCATTGTGGCTCCAGGATCACTGCATTTAGGGATTATACCTTGTCTTCTTGACTTCAAGGGCCAGTCAAGGCAAAGTCGGGACCAATCATAGCAAAGTAGAGGCCAATAACAATAAAGTAGGGACTAATCACAGCAAAGTAGGGGCCAATCACAGCAAAGTAGGGGCCAGTCACAGCAAAGTAGGGGCCAGTCACAATAAAGTCGGGACCAATCACAGCAGAGTAGGGGCCAATTACAGTAAAGTAAGGGCTAATTACAGTAGAGTAAGGCCAGTTCCCACACAGTAAGGGCTGTTCATGGCGAAATAGGAGCAAACCACGGCACAGTAAAGACCAGTCTTGGCAAAGTAGGATCCAGCCACAGCAAAGCAGGGAATCCTGCCCCGTCTCTTGGGGAGAGAAGGCAGGGAGTGGCAATATGCTCCAGTACAGATCTCTATTTCAAGTGGAGCAATAGCTTTGTCTCTGTGGCAGGGTTTTGGGCATCAACCCCCAAAGGTGATGGTGGGTGGTTGGGTCGCTTGGCAGGGGTATCCTGTGAGCTCACTGCACTCCGAACCCCCCAGCATACATACCATCCTCTGCCCACAGGCAATGCTGAACGTGGTTTGGGAAGAACTGAGTCATGCGCAGAGTAATACAGTTTAATATTCCCACCATCACGAGTTATTTCTTCTGGATCTGTTGCAGGACTTGAAGCTAAAATCAACAGTTAAGGACACTGTACTCAGGAGTAGGAGTTCGTTCAATATTCATTCATTCAGACTTGAGTGCAAACGGAATCTTCTCCAGCAGGCCCTTGATTTTTGCTTCTCCAAGTGAGGGCTAATGCTTAGGCCTGTGGACCCAGGGGACACATATCTGTTTTCATTTGGACACCAAAACATTCTATTGACACTAAAGAGGAGGCATTGTGCCAGAGACCCTCAATCTAAAGGACTTTGTTCAATGCTGTGAAAAAGGGCTCATGTGGTTCCAGCATTTGAAACCCATCAGGGCTGTGGCTACAGAGCTCAGACTCAAAGGAGGTCCCTAGCAGGCTCTTACTTGAATTGTTGTTTTTTTTTTAGGGGGGGATGGCATACCCAGCGATGCTCAGGGCTTACTCCTAGGTCTGCTCTTAGGGATCAGTACTGGCAGTGCTCAGGGAACTGTATGGGAGGTCGGGGATAAAACCTGGGTTCGTTGCATATAAGACAAATGCCCTACCCAACTATTACTCTGACCCTGTGTGCTTTTAGGACCATGGTTCTTATCTGTACACATAGAGGGAGCTCAGGTGAGCCTATTGGCTGGGTGAAGCCCATGCAGAGAAGGAGGCTGCAGTGGTCTCCCTTACCTAGACCACCCCCCACACTCAGGAGAGGGTGATCTAGGGGAGTCAGCCAGAGTCGTTCTGCAAAAGAAGAACTCTTTGAAGAACTCATGGACAACTTTTGGCCAGAAAAATGGGACTAAACTGAGCCTGACAGGCCAAGACCCAGGGAAGCCATCTGGGCAGCTGGTCCTAGGTGGCCAGGGGCACGCAGAGTTGGACTTCTACCTTTTCTTCTACTGGTGGGACAATCTCCCTTTCCCACTGCCTTCTAGTTCCCTTTCCCTGTGTGGACCCTCCTGTGTGGATCCCCCTTCTCCCCATGCTCCACGCCTCTCTCCCTCTGGTTCCCTTTCTCTTGATTCTCCCTCCAGCTCTCTGCCCACGGGCCAGCACCCTACCCTGTTGGCGTCACAGACTCCACCAGCCCCCTGTCTGGTTTTGGTGTTGGACCCACAATGCCCATTATTCAAAGTGCTCCCCAGCCAACTTGATCTCCTTCCAGAGAGGTTTCTATTGCCCAGACCTCCCCTCATCACAGAGTAAATAAATGTGATGATCACATGTCTCAGAGTTTTGACTGGGGTAATCCCAGTTTTAAATGGACCTTTCAGGAAGCCGAAATATTTACAGTTGAACCAGTGAAACTGGGGCTGGAGAGGGAGGGCAGGCGTGAAGGTATTTGCATTGTCTATGACTGCAATTCCATCCCTGGCACCCTGCTAGGAGTGATCTAGGGCACAGCTGTGTAGCCCCCAAGCAAACAAGCAGCCCTACACCCTCACCACAAAAAAAAAAAAAGCAAAAGACTGGTTACCTCATTAGAATGAAAGGGTATCTTGGAGGTTTATTTATTTTTTTTTAATAGGGGGATGAAGCGATAGCACAGTGTGTAGGGCGTTTGCCTTGCATGCGGCCAACCTGGGTTTGATTCCTCTGTCCCTCTCGGAGAGCCTGGCAAGCTACCAAGAGTATCCTGCCTGCATGGCAGAGCCTGGCAAGCTCCCTGTGGTGTATTCGATATGCCAAAAACAGTAACAACAAGTCTCACAATGAAGACATTACTGGTACCCACTTGAGCAAATCGATGAACAATGGGAGGACAGTGCTACAGTGCAACAGGGGATGTCCCCAGTTGGAAGGCTTGGGGACCACTCAGGCTACACTTGGGATGTGCTGGGGATCCAATGCAGGGCATTGCACACACTAGGAATGCCTCTCACTCCCTTGTGCTGTCTCCCTACCTGCCCTCCTGCCCCCTCCCCCTTTCAGGTATTTTTTGTTTCCTCCTATTGTTGACAGAGTAGCTCATGGCTTCTGTGCAATGGGTGGGGCATGCCGTGGAGGTGGCTTCAAGGGCCGAGGTGTGCAGGGCCCCGGGAGGAAGCCCTGGATTCCATCCGTGCACGGTGTGCTTCCCTGAGCACTGCCAGCTGTGGATCTGCCCGATCAAAGCATCTTTCTCAAAGGGGCAGGCGGCTCCTGGCAGTGCCTTTGAAAGGCTCAGGGGAGGACTTCGTTGGGCTGGGGGTGGGGGGAATGTCAGAGTAAGTGCTCTCCCCTTCCCCACTGACAACCCACTGGTGAGCTTGGTGGCCGGTGCTCCTCGCCTAATGAATAATTCAGCACCTGCTATAGTTTGCTATCTATATTTGTGTGGTGTGTTGAAGTGTGGTACAACCCGTTAACATTTATTATTCACAGGGCTGGAAGGGAAATCGAGAGGCACCATATATAAGCAGGGGATCCAGAGTTGCAAGGAGGGAAAAAAGGCAAATGACTCTTAAGTGGTGTCCTCCACCAGGAGGCACAAGGAGAAGGCATGGGTCCAAGTGATGGGGGAAGATGCACCGGCCCACAGAGGAAACCGGGCCACAGAGCACTCAGAAAGGCCCCGGGCCACCGGGCTGTGCGTGGGCCAGCAGCTGGGTCACATCCAAGCCCAGTTGGAAAGTGTGTGAGTTATAAAACACATGGAGGAGAACTGTATTAATTTCCACTCTAGGCCCACAAGTGCCCGGTGAGAGTCCTTAGGGGAACGGCTATAATGAGCAGGGAGGAATCATTCCACAGCCGCAAAAGTGCCTCTTGGAGTACCTGCAGCGAGGTGCCCGGGGATGGTCCTGTGTTCAGAGGCTGGGCTTCCATGACACCCCATCTTTGAACCCTCAGCCCCCCACATGCAGCCCGTGCAGTATCGCTGGTGCTCCGTCACTGTTCGCAGGAGCAAAGAGTGAATGAAGCCGGGAGCGGGGGGAGGCTATTGGCAGCCAGGCATGGTCAGCGCCCCTGGTTTCCCCCTGAGTCTATTCCTCTGGAGGAAACCTTGTCCCTTCCCTTTGAGGATGAACCGCAGCAAGGGAAAAGCACTTGGCAGTCGTCACCTTCTTCCTCGTGTGCAGTGATCAGAGGGTTTTCTCTGGAGAAGAGCTAGTCCTCAGAGGGGAGCACTCTGAGAATTCTGGGGAACGGGGTAGGAGAAGGGAGACTGAGGCTGGGGACTGGGATGTAGGAAAGGGAGAGGCAGAAGGCAGTGAAGGCAGATGCTGCATTTCTGGAACTGCAGACTGCAAAACTCTCCCAAACTCTGCCTGCAGTTTGGGGAAGGGTGATGGGAAGGTGGGGACCGGGGAGGGAGAACCACTACCACCACTACCACCCACCCTCTACCAGGCAACTCAGTGCCTTTTTCCTCCTGGCCCTGCCCACCATCCGCCAGCCCACCCAGCACCCAGGGCAGGGAAGCAACACTCAGGGGGAGTGGTGGAGGTCAGCATCATGTCCACGGGAAGATTACCCCCACCCCCAGTCACAGGGGCTGAGGGAGACAGAGGCAGGAGTTACTCGTCCCCTCTGCCTCTGGATCCTGCTCTATGTCTAAGTCCTTATTCTGCCAGGATCCACCTCGCCTCCTCCACGAAGCCTTCCCTGGTAGCTCCCTTAACTGAGAGTTCTGTGCAAGGTGTCTGCCCCAAGGGCTTACACACTCAGAACTCACCATCAAGTGCATGTCAGGCGCTTTGCTCAGGTACTGCTCGTTGAGCACTTCTTGCAGAGCACGTCTCACTGAGCACTTCTTGCCAAGCACTTCTCAGAGAACACTCTGGTAAGATGGCAGCTTAGAGGGCCTGCAGAGAGCAGCTTTGGCACTGGCCAAAGTGCTGGCCTTGGGGGCCTTTCTCTGGGACTCAGCAGATACCTTCCCCCCCCACCCCTGGCAGAGCTGCCCCCAGGAGGAAGGGGGCCCTGATCACAGAGAAAGGACAGAGGTGCGGGATGCTTCTGCTCCACACTAAGCAGGATCAGTGCAGCTGGCGTCAGACGCCAGAGTGGGAAGGAGCTGGGCCGAAGGCAATTTAGAACTTTATCATGCCACAGCGAATTGTTCCCTAATTGTTTCCAGACGTCTATAATTAGGTAATAAATTGCACAGTGCACGTGATGGGCCTCCTCCACCGGGGGTTGGGGATGGGTGCTGAGCGTGAAGCCGGCGCGTCCGTGGGGAGGGGCAGCAGCTGGCGTGGATCGTGACAGGCCGTGCCCGGGCTCTGGGGCACAGTGAG